TAATTTTACAAGAAATACTAAATATGTTAACTGTTATTTTAATTTGAGTGTGGAAATCACTTAACTTAATACCATGAGACTTTTCCCATTAAGTTTACTTGATCGACATTTCGGGATCCAGAGAGTCATATAACAAGAAACTAGAAATTATAAAACAGAAGTTGGAGGAGGTCAGACCAGTTGACTACCCGTTGCCTAACCTAACTATATCGACAACCTACCCACATAACTAACGAATTAATTACGCAAATACATTATTAATCACCTACAACCAATAAACTATCTGATATTCAACACAACATCTGTGCCAACTAAACATAATTTATTTGCCAGAACTTGTTTCCTTAAAATCCATGATTACATTACCCTACTGTATACATTTCTGTTTTTCGGACGATCGCTTTTGATTTATTTCGTCCATATTCTTACCCGTTTGTATCGATCAGTGTTTCTCAACCGCTGGGCCGCGGCCCGGTACCGGGCCCTCGTCTTGTAACAAAATAATTTACCGGGCCACGGTCTCACAAAATTTGAGAGCTATTGGTATGGATGAAAGTAGAGATAAATTTAAACAGGCTACGACCAATCTATCTTCCATACTTTCCTATCCATTAATTGTGACCGTCTTTTGAGCTTGTTCCTCGTCAAATAGACTCTGAAGTGTAAACAGCGTTATTAAATGAACTACGAGCCGACCACCAAAATTATATGTGACAGCCTTCACCACGTGATCTGACTATATCAGTCGGCATAGCGACTAGACTTGCTTAATTAAGTGCAGGACGCCTTTACATTTCTCTCTCACCTTGTTTTATTGCATATTTTCTTTTTCTCTTCTTCCTTTTATCCTTCCTATTTTTGAACTTCTGCTTCCTCTCTGAACAGATTTGCCTTGCGATTATCATAAACTTTTCTAACCCTAATCCTGCAATTTACACGTGTCATATTTCTGATATTTTGGGTTCTCACGGCGATGATTTATAAGATTCAGGTTTTCATGAATGTGATGCCGTGCAGTCTGGTATATATATATACCACATTTCTGAGAATCCTCTTGCCTCCATTTTCAGAGCAGTTTGCTCCAAAATGCTTGTAAACCTCTGCCACGCCGCATGGCCTCATAATCCCACTGCTTCCTACGGTGATTCATTTGTGCAAATATTAATGTTTTGCTGGATACAAGTGTGACATTTCTCTTGGGTCCCGTGCGCCCTTCATTAGCAACGCTGACTTAATTACAAGTGTTCAGCAGAATGAGTGTTAGCTGTACGTTGACTTCAGTCTGAAGTGAAGACTGAAAAATGTTCAGGGTCTACACCGTCTCAGAAGCACAGAACTTCTGGATGCGTTTCCGAATGTAGTTATTTTGCAATATAAATTCGCAGTTCTTATTATTGGTATAGATCTAGCGGTTAAGCTTTAAGACTTGTGTTCGGAAGGTTTTTCCCCCTTATTCTCCGCTGGGTTATCGGCTGTTTTTTTAATTAAATTTCTCGTGACTTTCCTCAGAGTTTACATGAGAATTCTGAGCGAGAAAATACCCCGAGATAGGCTGTGGCCCTATACATCAGGGTCAATACACTACTCTTCATTGATTACCATTTGTCATTCTCCCTGTATAGGCCCTGTAGTTGAAAACAGCTTACAAAATAACCTGCTGGGCCTGTGGTACTGCGTACTATTTGGTGTTTCCATATGGGAGTTCTTACAACTTATTTAAATTTTCATCTAAGGAAAATATACAAAATTCAAAATACTTATCTCATTAGTATCTATAATTATTGCCTCAGACATTATTAGCTGTGGCACATATTTAACAAGAACGTAAAAGTCGAGATAGGATTTCGTCTAACATCATAACATGTAACTGGGCGGATAACTGACATAAAATGTGAAATGATAATAAGAATTCAGGGATTGAAAAAGAGACAGCGCAGCCATGTTGCAGTGCGACATTCTTCTGTTCGTTGGCAAATGAAATCAACAGCATACAACTGTCATACAGTTGCAAAAAGAAAAAAAGAAGGAATTGGTTTGCTCGTTGACTTCCGGCTTTTTCGAGGAATGATCTCCAGTGTCAGTCTTTGCCAATTTGGCATCCCATAACAGAGAAACAGTTAATACAAAATTTGTTCTTATGTTGAAACTGTAGCTATGAATTGAATCTGCCTATTCCAGGATAGTCTTCTGTGGATGTCGTATGGGTATTTCGGGGGAACATAATACTTCCTTCTTCAGGGTCGGGAATTGAAGCAAAAATTTACGTCGAGGTATTTGTTTAGGAGAGTAAAATTATCTATAGAATCATGATTGGTACATAAGAAAGCTAGAGGGGCAGGCCGTAGCTTAGTTGGTTGAGGCACTATGCTACAAGCCGGAAGGTCGCGGGTTCGAGTCCCGATGAGGTGGATTTTTTTCAACTGACCTAATCCTTCCAGCCGCACTATGGCCCTGGGGTCAACTCAGCCTCTAACAGAGATGAGTACCACGAATATTCCTGGGGGGGGGGGTAAAGGGCGGCCGGCGCATAAGGCTGACAACCTTACCGCCATCTGTAAGCCGAGTGTCTAGATAATGTGAGACCCTCAACGTCTCACGACTCTATGGGCTTCCATGGCCTGTTACAGGGATAGTTTTACTTTTTTTTTTACATAAGAACGCTAACGGTTGCGAATTGTGATTCGTCGGAACTGGTAAAGATGAAGGTAAACTTATCCCTGTGCCTAACCTAGGCGTTGAATAGAGATGAGTGGTTAGCTTCACATCTCTCCCGCTTTCGGTATCATTTACACCGGATGCTGGGTGATTCGCCTTCACTGTGTACACATAATTGTGTAGTCTGGAATGGTGACCCATTAGTAAGTAAATATTCAGCTTGGCAGACTACCATGCCGGTTCCCGGTAGCCTGTTGTGATGGCCACCTCAAGGTCTTCAGAACAAGAAGAACTGGCCGCAAAGAAAGTTTTGAGGCCAGCACACGCATTGCATTTCCTAATCCGTGAAGTCAAGTGGAAGAAGCTGAATGAGCCGTGACGACTTCCACGTTCAGCGGTTCACAAGAACATAAATTGTGATCGGTAGCCACAAACCTCTGTACTCTCCATTTTGGAGATCAACGATCTCAACCCAAACTGCTTCATTTCACGAGATCAATTCAGGATGTTACATCGAATCTCGAACAAATAAACAGAGGCCTTATCTTAATAAAGATATTCTTGCGGCATTTCACCATCCTGAAGCTGTTCATTTAACGATTCTAGAATTAACCTGGTAAAATATTCAGAGCTTGCTGTGGTACAACAGATTAATTCCATGCTACACTTTCTGTAGATTGCACATAGTTTATCCTCTGGATGAGTATTCATGAGCTTTATCAGGTTTCTCTGCAGTCCGATAAAAATGATTTTGAAAATTCGTTCAACCCAGTTTATAATATTAATAATTTATATGTTTATAAATACGAGTTCCCCCTCGTTGGTGGCTCCACCTAATCGTGGTGAGGGGGTTTGAGTATGCCAATGACCCTGAGAGCTATACCAGCGGTAGCGTAGCTACTGGCAGGGCCTCCCTTGCTGGACAGGTCAAAGGGTAGGCATCAGACGAAGAGAGACACCAAAAACTGATGCCGGAAGCAGCGTCATCAGCAGCGACTTGAAGCACAGAGTAAATAATGCTCGAGATGGTTCAAGTTCGTATAGCAACAGGCGTGACCAGAGTGGTTTGAACGGCTGTTGTACTGCGATGTGGAAAGCAAATGGAAAAACTACCACATTATCACTTTTCCTGGATAGTCTCTTTCCAAAACCAGAGATACCATGTATGCGAGATATTTCATTTGAAGGAGAAAGCTCTAGATCGCATCAAGTGGAGGAACTGTTTTGGAAGAGACTGTGGACCTGTCGTCTTGACAGATTACTGATGAATGAATGAAATACGAGTTGTAGGTCTCTTATATTCTAGCGGTTGGCTATTATTTCGAAACCAACTACCAAATTCGATGTGCTTATCAAATGTGGTGCAGTTAACTGATAAACTGCTTTTATACTTCATTTTTTCAAAATCAGATAACCAAGAGCTCTGTTCCACAGGACTCCTCGTCTGGATACACGTAAGAAAACCTTGGACGTCGTGTAATTACTTTATGAAATTCTCCCGACTTTTCTTCATTTATGATTTCCTCTGTATAATATTGCTTTGGAGGAGTAGCAGAACCAGTTGGAGAAAATCGATACACTTATTCTTCTTGTTCTTCATCTTCCTTCTCCTGTTTCTTTATGATTTGACAGTGGCATTCATGTTCAATTCGATAATTGTCGACTTGTTTGCAACCTTTTCATTTGAAAATTTTCCTCGTCAGTATATTCTTGCATTTTTTAAATGAGTCGATTTATAAGTACTATTCAGCAATTAAACAAAACTTTTTTGCTAACTGCAAACACTGGGCTTGTTACAATAAAGTAAAAGAGGAAAATTTATTTTGTAGAATGTGGCAACTACTACTGTATTCACAGGTTTAGTTTAACAGTGACAACGGCAAGAGCTTATAGCACACAAAGCAAAATCAAACTTTCACTAATGACGAAAAATAATGCCACACAATTTCTTCTATTGAACAGGAATCGCACCTTGTTTCTGCCATCCTCAATAGAAGTCTCTGTATTAGGCAAACCTTTTCAAATAGATTCGAAAGGGTTCTGACGATAGTGAACGATACACAGAATTACTGGGGTTTTGGACTTTTTCCATCATCCGGAATTCTAGGTAACAGAGGACACTCTATGTAATAGAGGACACGGCGTTTCGGAAACTGGATCACTTTCCGTCTTCAGATGAGAAAGAGAGACACCTCAGTTGGCCCCCTTACCTACAGTGTCCTCTATTACCTAGAATTCCAGATGATGGAAAAAGTCTAAAACCCCAGTAATTCTGTGAAACATTTTCAAGTTACTATGTTCGTAGTAATTGCCACCGGACTGATTAGAAATTAATTTTCTTTCAGATAACGTGTCCTGTTGTTTTCGTTTCGTGTCAACCTGCCTGAGATGGAAGCAATCGTGCCTTGGGCACCAAGTCCAGTCGCAACTACATAACTCCTAAGCAACAGTTCTCTGACTGCCCACGGATCGCATTTTCAGTGTCATCACTCCTCTGATTCAAGTAGTTGTTTTGGGGCCAAGGACAATAATTGCCATTATGTAAATCACAGATTTAACACTGACGAGAGTTCTTATCTGTGCATCCTTGGAATGTAATTAGTAGCTACCACGTTAATTGTGAGAGTTAAAGGGCCTTTCTGGTCGGTCACGGTAGCCGAGCGGTCTAAGACATGTACTCTCTTCGCTCGCTCGGAAGCCGGGATCATATGTTCGAATCCCACGCGAGGCATATTTGTTTGGTATGTGTATGTGTTTATTCTGTGTTTGTGTTGTCCTATGTTTAGGTAGAGGCCTTGCGACGGGCCGATCACTCGTCGAAGGAGTCCTACCATCTGTAAAATGATCATGAAACTGAAAATCAGAGGTAAGGGCCCAATGGGGGCTGTAGAGCCAGTGAAAAGAGAAAGACCTTTCTTCTCAAATTCTACCTCTTTCCAGGCTCAGAAGCGTCCATTCAGATTCAACATTCCTTAGTAAAATGCTAACGGATTTCAAATGCGTTTGATTTAATCACTGTGGGTGTTCATTTATTGCAGGTCTCTAAAGACGGACAGACAAGACGTACGCGTTCACTGTATGTACTATGTGCAAAGACCACTGATTCACAAACCATCAGCGTGTACAGTCGTGTGCCAGAACGTCCTCGACACGCAACACGTGTAACAGCAAACGTGTACACCGTATAATTGAATGCAATGCAATCCTAATATCTGTCATTTCACTGCATAACCTGAATACATCTTACGTTACTACCAAAAGAAAAAATAACCGCTGGAGCTGCAGTTTCGGATTCAAGTTCATGTACTTTTCCAAGACATTGCTAAACACAGTTTTCATATGAATTCTCTGAGAACTCAACATTAATTTTGCCCTTGCTATTGAAGGTCTCCTGATAGACTGTAAACGATATTAACTTTTAAAGATGCTGCCTTCGTCTGTATGTGAATCGCCTGGCATATGATTCGTTTCGATGCGAATGTGATAAGCACTGTCCTCCATTAAAGCCTTTGATTTCTTATCTTTCCATCGGCTGAGAGCCCAGTTTACACTGTCAATAATGAATATGCTTATAGACCTTAAATATTTCTTTCTTTGCCTTTATTCCTTTCTCCTTTACCTTCCTTGTTGCTGTGCTTCTCTGCAAATATTATAAACAAGACGACAGTAGAATACAGTCTGTATGTAAACTTAAACTGCGGCTGTAAATTCGGGGTTCATCATCATCAGTAATCTGTCAGACAACAGGTCCACAGTCTCTTCCAAAACAATTCCTCCACTTAATGCGATCTAGAGCTTTCTCCTTCAAATGACAGTATCCTCTTCTGTCCCCAAGGTCATCCAGCATCTTCTTACGTCTTCTTGTCACTTCTATCCGCCCCTCTATCTTTCCTTCAATAACTTCTTTTAAAAGGCAGTTTCTGCGTAAAACCTGACAAATCCAATTAGCCTTCCGTTTTCTTATTTCGTGTAGGATATTCCTCTGCTCACTGACTCTAATTAACACTTCTTCATTTCTCACATAATCGGTCCAACTGATCTTCTCCATCCTTCTCCAACACCACATTTCAAAACTTTCCAGATGTTTCTGATCTACTGCCCTAAGTGTCCACGTTTCAGCCCCATACAGAGCTACATGTTGTAAATATTCTTGGCGGTAACACAAATGAAACACGGAATGAATGATTGACCGTGAAAATGTAACTAAACTCTCAGTGACGTACAGTGCGAGAACCATTCGACGCTTGGCGCACCTTCATTTGGTGTTTTAGGTCTTGCCACGCCCGACTGAAAGTATCTAGTGTTACAGCCACCTCTCTCTTCACTTCTTCGCTTCGGATCCTTCATGCTGATTCTTTGCTCTGGATTGAAAGAGAAGAAACGAAATCTTGGCCATCCCGATCTCCGAGCCGCACTCCATTATACTTATCTTTTGGGCTTACAAAGTAAATGGTATCGAGGCTTGGAATTACGGAAGTTTTGGACTTTGTTTACTTCATCAGAACTCTTCAGAACTGAAGTGGCATCGGGCGTAACTTTCGATAACACGGAGCATTTGAAGCGAACATTTAGGAACACTGCTTACTCTCTAACTCCATATGTTTTGACAGAGAGTGACAAATACCAGAATGCCGATAAGATGGACCAGAATGAAAAACAGCCCTCGTGTTTAACAATGGTAAATTTTTCACATTTTCTCATTAATTTAATACTTAATTCATGCTTGGGCCGCGCCATAGTTCAAGCGGTTAGTCGCTGGCTTCCCACCGCGGCGGCCCGGATCTGGTCAATTGGGATTTGTGGTGGACAAAGTGGCGCTGGGGCAGGTTTCCTCCGAGTACTTCGGTTTCCCCTGCCAATCTTCATTCCACCAATTGCTCTACAAACACCCTCATCTATCATCTGGGGCTGGTACAATAGGCGAGAAGTGGCCTCAATACAAGGGACTTAGTCCCACCCCACTAGCAATAATTCATGCTTCTAATATCTACAAAATAGCTAAGCCTGAAAGCCGCACAATAGCTCTGTCTGTATGATATCGTGAGTTTGATTTGGCCTATGCGCATTGTTTTACATCACACTTCTGGTGTTATAAAAACTTTGCGAGAAGTATCACGCGTTATTGTCTAGATGTTAGCTTTTTGTAGCATGGGGCAGACAGAGCAATCATTGAGGTCTAATGCATACACATTCAGTCTGGACAATGAAATGCAGACAGCTGCTGCTCACTTATTTGAAGAGCCGGCTGTCAAGCCCTGTGAAGTTCGAAACACACGCGTCGCCGACAGATGCTTACTGAATGCAGGTCTGAAAATGATTGGATGTTTGTGCCATGCATGGAGTGCACAAATGTTCCTAGTGTATTCTTCGCTGTTTGGCATAATGCTTTGGCCTTAATATTCAGATATGTGATGTTGCAGAGCTATTTGCACTGTGGATTCACTGCAGAATCAGAGAAACACATCTTTTATTATACTTCGTTAAACGTTCAACACATTGACAAAGCTTTCAAATTAAGGTGTAAATCATTTTTGTGTGATGCCCTGATGTTCTGAATGACGTGCCATTTTTGAGAAAATGGATGATGACATTCGATTTTAGCTTCATGTATATTAGTGGGTATATTGTATCACCCCCTCAATACAAAATGCCATTGAAATCAGTTCACTTCCATGTAGATGCAAAGTTTGGTATGTGGAGATGTACGTTCACACTTCATGTATCAAATAAAACAATTATATTTTTATGTAGGACTTGAATTTCTTACAGCGGTGGTTATGAAGAATTATATATTCTGGGATATAATGGAAGTCCCTTGCTGCCTGCTTCATGCTGGTTTCTTCCTGGTCTCACACCTCAACCAAGATAATGGAGGCGATATGTTCCTCTGAAACGTCGATTGACTTTCACCGGACTACACGGAGATATATCCCAGAAGATAAGAACTCTTCGTAATTCCAAGGAGAAAATGCCTTCTTGGGGAGCAAAAAATCCACTACTGATTAATATAATCTGGGCCTCTCTTGGAACTCGAAGCTTCATTATCGTGTTCACAAGATCCCGCCACTGTTCTCTGTTCCTATCCAGACTACTCTACTCACACCCCTATATCTTATTTCTTTACAGTGACATCCCTCAATCGATGCTTGAGATCTTCGACATATCGCTCCCTCAATATTTTCCTACTAAAATGATGTGCACATTTAACATCTATCTTATGCGTGCTACATGTCCCAACTATGTCATCTGCTTCATTTTAGCACCCTAATAACATTCAGTTAAGCGTGCAAATGTAGAAGTAAGTTATTACCGACTTTAGTCCAGCCTCGTGTTGAATCCCGCTTAGGTCTGGTTATGTGCCTAAACATCCTGTCCTTGGAGTCCTTCAGTCTGCCTTACTCAGTGTTTCCACCCATACTAAACGCCTGGCAGTGTGAAGATGTTAATATTATAGCCTTTTATCAAGTTTTGCATTGTCATGTAGGCGTGCAGTATGCTCTGCTGAACAGGGAGCATGGGAATCATGGGAATCACATGACAACAATAGAAGCAAACATCCACGTCGAGATTCCATTCTTTGACGGGTTTCACAATATATGTGTCTTACATAGCAAGGCTATTGGAATCAATTCTTTTATTGAAGTTCTGAAATATTTCTTAGCTCAGTTGTCTCAATCCCCCACCGATGGTGTCTCCGCCTTATTGTGGTAGTGGGGTTTCAGTGCTCCTGAGAGAGCTATGCTGGTGGTAGCGTAACTACTGGTAGGGTCACCCATGCCGAACAGGTTAAGGGGTAGGAGCCAGACGAAGAGGACACCCTGGTCGTCCAGGTTGGGGGTTGGGCGCGAGGCTACCAACCTCATACCGTAAATACTAAATTGTTCAGTAACCAGAGAATCAGCCTCGGATAAATGGATTGAACAAAAATCAACACCAGCTAAGGAGCTGAGATGGTTGGAGGATGTGTATGATGATCTCCATAAAACGAAAGTGAAAGGATGAGGAGGAAAAATGAAGAACAGAGAAGAATGGAGGCAGATTGTTCAGGAGGCCAAAGCTCACCCTCAGCTGTAGCGCTGAGGTGAAAGAAGAAAGGAAGTTGTCTTAATCAGAGGACAACTATTCCTACCTTAGAAAATGGTACAGGATTTTCCTTGAGCAGCTGATCGTCTTTCAGCTTGTCAAGAAATGTCCTGCTTTTTTGGAAACCCCCCCAAAAATCGTCACTGAACAATTATAATATTATCTCTCTTGCCTGCCTGAATATTCCAAGCTGTTTCTTCTCCTGATAATTTCCACTCAAGGTTTATCTCGCATGCATTTCTGTATTCACGTGCGTACTAGGCCCTACATGTCCAGTCTGCCGCTTCCTTCTCGACTTAATCACTGTAAGAGTTTTAAGAGAGAATTACAAATTATAAATTTCCTCATCATGTACGTTTCTCCTGTTCCTTGAGAATTCGTATTTTACAGGTCCTAATATTTTAGTTGTCCTTCTTTGTTCTCGGATGCCCTCAATCTATGACGGGTACGATCATCCCCGTTGTAACGTCATGTAATTCGGTAGAATTCCACCGCCTTTTCGGACGAACATATCGCCTCCATCTTTAAGGTCGAAGATCCTGAATTTTCACGGTCGAAGGCTTCTACCGAACCACAGGAACTTTACAGCCCAAAAAT